CTTTTGAGTTCACAAAAGTATAAAATAGGGGCGTAAGATGCAGTTTTTAGTTCAGAGCATCAGCTCAAAACAACGAGATTTGAAACAAGATTTCGAATTCAAATCAATAAGTATGCAAGAATCTACAAGGCCGATAAACAAAAAAGTGAAACGTGGGGGGCAATATTGCGTTGCCGGATTACCAAATGGGGAGAGCTGTACAAACAGTAGTTTGACGCCAGGTATTAGTATGCACCGTTTTCCAAGTAAAAACCTCGATTTGCGAAGGCAATGGATTCGTTTCGTCAGAAGACATCGTGCCAATTTCAATCACCAAGCCTACTCGATCGGCCCTTACCTGTGCTCAGATCATTTTGAGCGCTCTTGCTATGAAAAACCGTTTGCTTTAGAGCTTCCTGGTTTTGACAGTTCCAAAACGAAGAGGACTTTAAAAAAGGATGGTATTCCAACTGTATTCGACACACGAGGACGAAGCCAGGCATTTAGTGAATCGTCTTCAAAGGTGGCAAGAAACAGAAGAACTGTGAGTATAAAATATACCTTTGAGCTTTATCTATGTACAGTCTCTATGAAAATGACTCTCATCATTCTCAGATTCAAGGTTTTCGTAATTTTTTCAATAAAGTTTTTTAACAAACTATATATTAGTTTCTTAAAATTTACCATTTCCTCAATTTTAGTTGTTAAGAGGAATCAAACAGCACGAACACGCTAACAAAAATGAATGTGCTTCAGGACAGTTCGATGAAGAGATAGAAGAGGTTGAGGTAGGCGAAAATGCGTTCACAATTGGAGACTCTTTCACCATCGGGGAACAGCACAACGATTCTGAAGAACATGTAGACGTTGTTCCATTGCAGTGCCAAGTTCATCTGACAGGTGCCCCCGTACACACATGCCCCACATGCATAACCCCTCAACGAGAAGAGGTTCAAGGAAATATTAGAACACATACGGCAATACAGGTGGCAATGATGTGCAAGAAATGCACTGAAACACGGAAAAAAATTCAGAACCTAAGACGTCAGAACAACAGGCTAAAACATGTTATAAGGACACTACGGGAAGGCAGCGAAAAGAATGTAAGTAAAGCTAAAGATAAATCTGCATCATTTCTCGACTTTAGACTGTTCCAGGAGCTTTTAAATTTCTGTTTTCACAAAGTAAATTTGTTAAAACTATATATGCAAAAAGTCAGTGGGCTTTCACCCTGTCATCTAGAAAAACGTGATAGTTAGAAATTTGAAGCCAAGGACAATGAGCCTTTTCTGGATATATGCCCAAGAGAAGGGGGTTCTGTACACACATCCCACTGAGAAGGCTTGGAAATGCTAGTACAGTAAGTCGTATCTATTAATCTGTTATTTTCTAGGAAGATAGCGGTAACCCTATTCCTGTTGAGGATATACTTCATGCTGAAGAGTCAAATGAAAATTTATCAGAAGACGAGGACAGCGAATGGAAAGTTGATGAAGCAGACAGTTCTCCTGGTGACATGTCAGATAGTGATGGGACTGATTTTGATGATTATGATTATGATGATACACATAAAAAGAGGCAACAAGTGAGGTAATGCTACATATTCTGCTGAGCCAATTTTTCATTAGCCAAGCAACAAATAACAAAAAGTCCTTTTTTCCCTTCCATATGTTGTATAATATTTTGACAAAATTATCATTTTTATGTGATGTAGGGAATGTCAGGGAAATGCATTAATATATATCTTTTTTGTATCTTTATCGCAGAATTGACCAAAATGCAACTCCAGAAAAAGAACCCAAGTTTATTGTATTTTATACAATGCTACTACAAGTCTTTTCAATCCTCTGTTTCAAGTGTAAAAAAACTAAGCCAGGAGTCAGAATGGAGCAGAATGGGACAATGGTAACTGTTTATCAGAGTTGCATCGAATGTGGGAAAGACTGTTGGAAATGGAGGTCACAACCATACGTTCTTGGTCGTTATCCAGCTGGTAACATCTTGCTTAGTCTCAGCACTCTTACAGCAGGAGCATCAATCAGCAAACTGCTATTAATTTTCAGACACTTCGGCCTTGCCACTTACAGTGCACATACTTTTTTCCGTCATCAAAAAAAGTTTGTTTTCCCTGCAATTCTCCGTCACTGGGAGCTATATAGAGCATCATTGCTGACTGAGCTTCATGGTGTTAAAGACATTGTCCTATGTGGCGATGGTCGATTCGATTCGATGGGGCATTCAGCAAAATATGGCACTTACACGATGTATTGTGACAATATAAAAAAAATCATACACTTTGAATTGGTTCAGGTAATGGAAAAATCATAAACCATTTTTTCTATCAATCTAATTTATTTGTAAGTGACTTGTTACAGAAAGCCCAAACTTAACAATTTCCTTTCTTTATTTCGAATAATTCGGTACATGCCACATGAAAAAAGCCAAACAGATAGAAACTTAATTTTTAAAGTAAGTTAATTAATAAGATTGTTTTCAAATGGAATCAAATATCAAATATCTAGCATTAAAAAATCATTAATAAGGTCAAATATCAAGTCTTGAACCTTATAAAACCAAGAGAAAGCACTGGTTTGGACTTCAAATGTGTCTATTTGTAGACAAAATTAAATACTGTTGTTATAAGTCATCAACCATAAACTTGTATCTTCATATTTGTGTGTTTAATAACCTGACATCAATTTCAACTTTGAATTAAACTGATGTACATTTTCACCCTCTTTATTTTATTTCCTGTATAGTCAAATGAATGCAAAGGTAGTTCCAATATGGAGTTGCTTGGTGCTAAGCGATGTTTCGGATACCTAAATGATGCCGGGATAGAGGTCTCCAATTTTATATCAGACAGACACAGAGGAGTGGCCAAATGGATAAGGGAGTCTTTACCACATGTCCATCATTATTATGATATTTGGCATGTTGCACGCACCTTAACCAAGAAGGTAACAATAGCTAGCAAGGAGAGAAATTGTGAGATATTGGGTACCTGGTGTTCAACAATCCGCAACCACCTCTACTGGTGTGCAACATCGACAAAGGAAGGTTTTGGGAAACTCATTGTCGCAAAATGGAAGGCTTTCTCAAATCACATCCAGAACAAGCACAACAACCACGAAGACAAACTGTTTCAGAGGTGTGCACACGGAGAACTAGATCATAAACGTAGATGGATTCTCAATGGTTTGTATCATTTTGTCAAATCACTGCATTTTATACAAAATGTAGCCCCTTTCATAATTTAATGGTTTTTTTTAAAGAGAGGCAAACACCATTTAAAGTTCCCTAAATGGTCTTGCTTCAACTTTGAAACCTAAGAAAATAAACAATTGTGCTGATTGTTAAACTTCCCATATACTTCTCCTTAACAGCTAACATAAAATAATAGTATTAAATATATGTAATTCAACAGGAACTACTGCATATGACAAGATTCAGCCAATTCTAATGAATCAAAGCCTTCTACAAGACATTGCAAAATTGTCATCAAATGCACAAACCAGCTGTCTCGAGGGATACCACTCTACACTGAACCAATGGCACCCAAAGATGACACATTACTCCTGGATTGGCTCTCTGTGCAGGTACTTATGACTAGAGATACCAATCATTAATTAAAAATTACTGAGCATTGTGCATTGTATTGTTTTTCACTATACTATCTTTACTACCTGCCAAGCTATCTTTGGAGAAAATTAATTGCTGAGAAAATTTGTCAACACTGAGTAAATAACTGAAATTTAAATTTTGGATATTGTTGCTTCCTGTAAATTGTACTTCTAGAGAGTTTAAGAAAGTGCCAACGTGTGCAACAGTATTTGAATGCCATTCCTAGCAAAAACACAGCCTACTTTACATAAATGTATAATTTTTATTTGTATCAGTATCAACAAAATAAAACTAAACTTCATTTGTGAGTCAAACAGAAAATGTATCCAAATACCCAACAAAGAACTGTTATATTTTTTCCAAGGCATATAATGGCAGTTTCACATTTCAACGAAAACCTGCACAGGGAAGCACAAAAAGACAAAAATGGAAAGGAATATTTCAAAGTTTCTTATCCTAAATATAAACTTGGCGAAGAAGCAGTAAAACCTGTTCCAGTCCCTCCATCTTACAGTGAGTAGACAGCATACAACATATAATCTACATAATCTTGCCATATAAAGAAAATCAATTCATATTTTGCCCTGAGAAATGGGAGATGAGAAATGCTATTGTATTTTTCAAGAACTGATATTAGTTTAAATATATTAGATAAAATATTAGTTTTATACATTTTTACAGAAATTATTTCAAATCATGTTTAATATTCAAAATAATTGCTTTTATATTTTCAAAAAAATTATTACAGATTACGTTGAGCATACAAAATAACTTTTATTTAAATCAAACGAAGAAGAACTTGGCCAGATTTGGAAAAAGTATGCTGATAAGATGCCTGCATCCTTGGTGAGCAGATTTGAAAGAACAAAAAGTAAGAAAGAGGCTGTAAAAGAATATAAAAAAAGGAGAACACTATTTCAACCATTATACCCTTCAGGTAATATACTTATTTGGCCAGAAAATAATCGTTTTATTTGCCTTTTCATTTAAAGTTTTGTTGATTAATCATTAAAACTGTATGATGAAAAATTTTGCCATTTTTTATTCTAAATTTAATAATCAATGTTTATCTTACCAGAAAATGATCAATA